GAGACTGTTTCTTTTTATTCATGTTTATTGTTACATTGTGTGTATGTGGGGGAGGGGTGCTTCAGCTGGAGGTCAATGGGGAGGGTCAGAAGCAGACCTGCAGGAGTTGGTTCTCTCCTACAAACTCCAAAGATCAAACTTGGGCAGCTGGGCTTGGAAGCCAGAACCTTGGCTGGATAAGCCATATTACTCGTGAAATGGGTTGCAAGATCAAAAGGTCAAAAGGAACTCTTAGGAAGTTAAGTCGGGTAGTGGTGGTGCGAGCCTTTAGTTCCAGCACTCCAGCACTTGGGAGGCAGAGGCAGGCAGATCCCTGTGAGTTCCAGGACAACTAGAGCTGTTACACAGAGAAAACTTGTCTTGGAAAACCAGAAATAAAGACTGTGTTGGGAAACAATTATTTTCATGATTATAAACATCATAATCTTGTTTTTAAAAAGAATAGGTTTGATGCCAGGCAGCAGTGGCACAGGCCTTTAATCCCAGCATTTAGGAGGCAGAGGCAGGCAGATCGCTGAGTTCAAGGCCAGCCTGGTCTACAAGAGCCAGTTCCAGGACAGGCTCCAAAACTACAGAGAAACCTTATCTCAAACTCCTCCTCAAAAAAAGAATAGTTTTTTTGTTTTAGTTTTTTGTTTTGGTTTGGTTTTTGGTTTTTTAAGATAGGGTTTCTCTGTGAAACAGTCTTGACAGTCCTGAAACTCAATCTGTAAACCAGGCTGGTCTCAAACTCAGAGATCTGCCTGCCTCTACCTCTGGAGTACTGTGACTAAAGGCATGCGCCACTACCGCCTGGCTAAACAGAATGTTTTTAAGTTTCCCTTGAAGCACATGACCTTTTTTTTTTTTTTAAAGAAAATGATTCACTAGCAGAATAAAAAATAATTAAGTTGGGCAGTAGTGGTGCAGGCCTTTAATCCCAGCTCTCGGAAGGCAGAGACCAGATCAAGGCCAGCCTGGTCTACAAAGTGAGCTCCAGGAAAGTCTCCTAAACTACATAGACACTCTGTCTCGGAAAACCAAATACATACATACATATATACATACATAAAGGTAATAATTAAACCTTCTTCCTGTGTCTTAGCTCTTACAGGGTCATGAACTGAGCAGCTCTATGTCCTCATAATTAATTCATCTCTCACTTCAGTCAGACTGCTCACATCAGGGGCAATCAAGGTACTGGCCAGGCCCTACTTTCTTCCTAGCAAAGGAAATCCTCATCTGGTCACTATTACTTACATACAAGTAACTAACATAGTTAAAGAATTGAAGTAGATTCGAGGCCAGCCTGATCTACAGCCTGGTCTACAAGACAGGCTCTAAAACTACAGTGAAACCCTGTCTCGGAAAAAAAAAAAAAAGAAAAAAAAAAGAATTGCAGTAGAAAAGGATGGGAAGTTTTCATAGGCCCTCAACAAACCTGTTACTCTCACATAAAATGGGGGATATTTATGGTCTTGTTTGAACTAATGGAATTCTCCAATAAGGGGAAAAGGCACTATCAACATTAAAATAGATGTCCAATTATTAAAAATAAGATGGCTAGGCAGATTTGAATATGTTCTACCCCAATTTCATTTACAATGCGTAAAGACAGAATAAAGTTGGGGTCTGGAAAGCCTGTAATAGCAACAAATACTTTAATCTGTGTGCTGGAGACAAACCTCAAGGACCCAGAGGTGCTAATAAGTAAGTGCCCTACCTGAACTACATCCCAAGTACATGCCCCCGACCACACTCTCCTTTCTTTCTTTGTTTTAATTTTGAAGTACTGGGGATCAAAATGAAGGCTTTGGACACGCTAAGTAAACATTCTTCACTGAGCTATATTCACAGCTGGAGCACGCAGGATCTCACTATACTAATGCTGGCCTATTAGGCTTGAGTTCACGCTAACTCTGTGTGTGTGTGTGTGTGTGTGTGTGTGTTGGGGAGGGGAGTGGCAGCAGGATCTCACTATAGTAATGCTGGCCTATTAGCCTTGAACTCACTCTGTAGCCCAGGCAGGCCTTGAACTGGACCTCCCACCTCGCTTTCACATTCCCCAGCAGCTAGCTGCAATTACAGCCTGGGTCAGCAGGGCTAGCTCAAGTACACCCCTTATATTTAGACAGAGTTCCACTGTGTAGGCCTGGCTGGTCTAGAACTCACTATGTAGACCAGGCTGGCCTCAAACTCAGGGACTAGCCTGCCTCTCCTTCTGCTCCACCACATCCAGTCCTCAAATTCCCTTTAAAAACTACCCCTGCTGGGCTGAAGAGCTGGCTCAGAAGTTGGGAGCACTGATTGCTCTTCCAGAGGACCCAGGTTCAATTCCTAGCACCCACATGGCAGCTCACAATTGTCTGTAACTCTGGTTCCAGGGGATCCGGCACCTTCACACAAGCATACGTACAGACAAAACACCAAAGACATAAAATGAAAGCAAATAAATTATTAAAAAAAGAAGAAAACTGGGAGTAGTGGTGCACGCCTTTAATCCTTTAAAAACTCAGAAGGCAGAAGTAGATAGATCTCTGTGAGTCTGAGGCCAGCCAGGTCTACACAGTGAGTTCCAGGACAACCAGGGCTATTACAGAGAAACCCTGTTCTGAGGGGGGAGGGGGTAGGAAGGAAGAGAAAAGAAAGAGATGGGGGCTGCCAGGACTATCCTCTAAGATGTGTGGATCAGACAGAGAATTTATTGGGAGAGTCAAATAACTAAATAGAACAAAAAAGGTTAAATGTTGCCATATAGTTTCAGGAGAGAAACATAAAAATAATGTGTTACCAGACAGAGTTAAAGTCAGCTAGGGTTCACTTCCTCCACGCCTCCAGAAGAGTCCACTCTTCTTATCTGTGGTTTTCATGGATCTAGCACAGCCACTCCCACCTTTATTCAGCTCTAGCAATCACTCCCCAGTTTTCAAAAGGCCTCACCATTTCAAGCTCTCAGTCCTCAGAGCCAGCAGAGCTAAAGTGTCTGCCTTCCTGCCCACTTGAAAGGCATCTGCACTTATCTTTCGAAAGCTGTGCCTAGAAAGGCACTCTCTCTCCACGGAAGCAGGCAGTTTAACTCTGTCCTCTGCTTTATCTACCCTCAACAACAAAGACTCGAGAGTGCTCCTCCAGTCTCTAAAGAACCAGCCGTCTCTTGGGCCCTTGCACAACTCCCTACTTGTCTTTTTCACTCTAAAGATTCCACAGACAGGAGAGTAACAACAACAGAAAGAGCTGAAAAGCTGCTGTACACCAATCTGAGCTCCAAAGCAGAGAATCCCCTGGGGCAACCAGACTCTTGCAAAGAAAGCTTTTACAATTAAAAAAATATCAGGGTCTGGAAGGCAATTCTTCCATTATTGTCATACCCTTTGCTTTCTTTGCAGTGTGCTAAATAAATTTGTTCTTTTCCCTACAAAATGGAGAAGAGGGTGAATCTCTTAGAACTGGCGTTATGGAGAGTTGTGAGCCATCATGTAAGTGCTAAGAATGGAACCTGGGCCCTCTTTAAAAGCAACAAATGCTTTAATAAAGAAAGAAAGAAAAAAAAAAAGAAAAAGAAAAAAAAAGAGCCTGAAAGATCAGAGGAAAAAAAAAAAAGCAACAAATGCTGTAAACCACCGAGCCATCTCTCCAGCCTCCAAATAAATACATATTTTTTTTAAATAAAAATAATAGAAGCTTGTTCTGGGCTAGATGATATAAAAAAAAAACTGTAATCCTACCTACTTGGGAGGCTAAGACTGGAGGATTGCAAATTCAAGGCCAGCCTAGGTAAATTAGTAAATTTAAAAAAAAAAAAATACAAAAGGGGCTAGTGGCAGGATACGTGCAGAGTAAACTTAAAACCCAGGCTCAGGTTCCAGTATCAAAAGAAGTAAGTAGAGACTGGGGAGATGGCTGGATGGCTCAGCAATAAATCCTTTGGCACACAAGCATTAACTGAGGACCCCTCCAAAACCTCAGCCAGCTGTGCCAGTGATCCCAGCTACTGGGGAGACACAGGCAGGACTGTTCATTCAAAACTAACTTGTCCTTAAATGCAAGACCCGGTCTCAAAATAAAAGGTAAAAGGAAGGCTGAGGATGTAGCTCAGTGCTTCAGTCTTGTCCGCATTTCCTCCTCTTGGGTCAGGAGCTACAGCTGCACACCATTTACAGGAGCATGGTACTTTTCCCATACAATTTGACAGTCAAGTTGTCACACCACAGAATAAAGTGTTATTTCCACATATGTCTGCTGTGCTTATGCAGAAAGCACGATTTTTTGTTCACTGAGGTTTTACAAATATGCTTTGTTTTTCCTGAGAAATCAGTCACTCCATTAATAATCATAGGGTCTAAAACATATCGCATTGTCGGGTACATAGCATTCGTATGGTACTTACAACTTATCGATTTCATAAGCACTCTCAACCACATACATGAAGCTTACGAAAGCCCTGCATTTAGTATTGCATCTTCCAGAGAGTCAGAAAGGTTAAGTGGGTTCTATCCAAGGTTATCGATCGGTTTATCTGTGATGGACTTGGTTCCAAACCTGACTCCAAGCCCTTGGCTCTTTAACCTAGACCCTCCTGGATTTAAACCGAGCTTCCGATTCCTAAGCATTACCCAGGACACACCATAACTTCAGTGACTAGCCCTTCTCTGCCTGATTCAGAGTTGGCTTCTTCAGCTCCAGCACGGCTTTTATTTTCCACCACCCTTCCCCCAGCAACCATTCTCTGAAAGAAGCGGAAAGGGAGAGGCGACCCAAAGCTCCTGGGGGAAGGGAAGATGACAAACCAGGCAGCGCAAGGCACTGGCCCTGCCGTGAGCTCCTTCACTCCACGAAACGCAGCCCCTTCCCTCCGCCAAGCTGTCCGGCTCTGGGACTCACGACCTAGTCATCCATGCTCCAAATTCTCCCACCATCACCTCAAACTATCCCTCCCCCACGACCCTCCGTCCCCGACCAGCAGAGGCCAACGCGCCACATCTGCACTCCCCAGGGTCAATTCCCCTTAAACTTGCACTTACTGTCGGTGACTGGGCCCGGCCCTCATGGCTGCTCCGTTGTCGCCCGTCGCCGCCACTGCTGCTCCACGCCCCAGCTTCTCAGTCACAGCCGCCGTCCGGACTGGCCCGGAGCCGCTCTAGCGCCTGCGCAGCCCGGAGTGCCCGGGGCCCTCTCAGGCAGCCTGCGCCTGCGCATCTTGCTCGGGGGGGCGTCTTTCTCAGTGCCTGATGGCCGGCTTCTCTGAGTCTCAAGTACGCATCGCCACCGGCTGGCCTTGGGTACGGAAAGTCTTAGAGAATGAGGCTCCCTTACTTAAAAGTAAGGCCTCTAGAATATCTTGCCTAGATTACTAAAGTCTTGAGCTGTGACTTATCTAAGAGGTCATACATTTAAAGACTCCTCCAGCATTCTGGATCCTGCTTGCATTTAAAGGCTGATGTTTTAGGCATCGAGGAAATTGCAGGTGAAAGTTCCCTACTGTTCATCTCCAACCCTGGAGTCTGATCTTTTTGCAAACTGGAAAAGAAGACCTTTAGGCCTGTATGTATGGTAGTAACACACGCTTGTTAACCCAGCAGCTCTTGGGAGATTAATACATCCGATTATGAGCGACTAAACATAGGTCCTAGGAACCGAATTCCCGACCTCTGCATGAGTGCTAAGCATCTCTCCAACACCTATACATATATCTTTAATGGGACTCTTCAGGCCAAGCGGTGGAGGCACACACCTTAAATCCCAGCATTGGGAGGCAGAGGCAGATGGATCTCTGTGAGTTTGAGGCCAGCCTGGTCTACCAACAGAGTTCCAGGAAAGCCAGGAGTGTTAGACAGAGAAGCCCTGTCCTGGGGAAAAAATATACATATAAACAAACAAACAGCCGGGCGATGGTGGCGCACGCCTTTAATCCCAGCACTCGGGAGGCAGAGGCAGGCGAATCTCTGTGAGTTCGAGACCAGCCTAGTCTACAGAGCTAGTTCCAGGACAGGCTCCAAAGCCACAGAGAAACCCCGTCTCGAAAAAAGCGAAAAACAAACAAACAAACAAGAAGCTCTCTATGAGTTTGAGGCAAGCCTGGTTTATGCAGCGAGTTCCAGGACAACCAGAGCTACACTGAAAGGCTCTGTCCCCCAAAAAGAAACTAGGTGTTACTTCTTTTTGCCTTCTCAGAGAAGTACCTAGGAACCTGAGGATTTTCATCAGAGGCTTACAGCAGTATCGGTATTGTGGTAATGACGACAACGATGACGACTTTGGCTCTGTAAAACACCATCTTATTATGTCATCCACGGGTGGTCTTGAACTCCCTATGTAGTCCATGTTGGCCTCAAACTTACTATCATCCTGCCTGAGCTTCCTGAATTACAAGATTACAGTCATCTATTATCATGCCTAGCATATGCTTATGGTTTTTAAGAATATAATTCTAGCCGAGCAGAGGTGGCTCACGCCTTTAATTCCAGCATTCAGGAGGCAAGGCTGGTGGATCTCTGTGAGTTCAAGGCCAGACTGATCTAGAGTGAGTTCCAGGACAACCAAGGCTACACAAGGAGACACTGTCTTGTAAAATCAGTGTGTGTGTGTGTGTGTGTGTGTATATATATATATATATATATATATAACAATAAAACAGTCTTGTAAAATCTATATATATATATATATATATATAATCCTATGTTGCTACGTTAGTATGTACTAATTGGTATATAATACAGTACACACAGTTTCAGACTTAATGAGTGAGCTGCCTTCTACCTGGTCTGGGATGGAGGGACTCTCAAACTTAATTAGGGCTGCTAACATAGGTGACATTGTTAACAGCAGTATGGACAACTTAACAGTGGCTGCCGTACTGGACAAAATGTCTTTCTTCTCTCATTTTTTATTTTTCTTTTTTAAGTGTCTTCCAGTGGCTGGAGAACTGGCTCAGTAGTTTAGAGCTCTTGTTGCTCTTGGAGAGGAGCTGGGCTCTATTCCGAGAGCCTACATGGTAGCTCACAACCATCCATAACTCCGGTTTCAGATGTCCACTTCCGGCCTCCTCAAGCACCAGGCACATACATGGAGCACATGCATGCAAAACACTCATACATATAAAATAAAAAAATCTAAAAGTGTCTTCCAAATAACTATGAGCATTTCTCAACTATGTTCTGGGTGCTGTTCTTTTTTTTAATAATTATTTTATGTGTATGAAAGTTTTGTCTGCATATATGTTTGTATGTGCACCACGTGTGCATGCCTGATGTTCTTGAAGACCAGGAAACTGTGTCACATTCCTTTGAACTGTAATTATAGGTAGCATGAGCACCCTATCAGTGCTGGGAATCAAGCCATCTCCTCTGCAAGAGCAGCTGTCTTAGGGTATCTATGGCTGTGACAGAATACCATGACCAAAAGCAAATTGGGGAGGGAAAGGTTTATTTTTTTGCTTACAAATTTCCACAAATCCCAGTCCATCATCAAAGGAAGACAGGGTAAGAACTCAATGACTGCTAAAGAGGCTGTGGAGTGCTGCTTACTCAGCCTGCCGCCTCCTCCTCCTCCTCCTCCTCCTCTTCCTCCTCCTCCTCCTCCTTCTTCTTTTTCTGAGACAAGGACTTTCAATATAGCCTTGCCTTAGCTGTCCTGGAAGCAATCTGGCTTTTTTTTCTTTCTGTTTGTTTGTTCTTTGAGACAGGGTTTGAGCCCTGTCCTCGACCTAGATTTGTAGACCAGGCTGGCCTCAAACACACAGAGATCCACCTGCCTCTGCCTCCAGAGTGCTGGGATTAAAGGTGTGCACTGCCAGCTCCAGGCTTACAGCCCCACTGTATGAAAGTATTTTTTCAATTGAGGTTCTCCCACACACAGATGAAGTTACGTTGACATAAAACTAGGCAGCAAAGCAGTCATTCTTTTTAAGTGCAGAGCCATCTCTCCAGCTCCCTCTTGTTATTTTTAAGATCTCACAGAGCCCCAGTCTGGCCTTGAGCTCCGGGTCATCCTGCCTTTATCTTCTAACTGCTGGGATTACAGGCTCTGCCAGCACTCCTAACACAAGGTCATCTTGAGATGTGTAGAGTGAAAGATCACAGCTGACAGAATTAGGTACTGGTTAGTAACCAGGACATCCTGTGAGCCAGCTCCTAACTTGAAAGACTTGACACTATTTATTCAAGGTGACACATTTGTAATCTCTGCACTTAATAAGTGGACAGAAGGGCTGCCTCAAATTAAGACCACCTTGAGAAAAAATAGCAAGAACCAGGCCACTCTGGCCACATAGCAAAACCCTGTCTGGGATGGAGGGCTGGGGGGCGAGGGGGGGGGAACATGTATCAGTTGCAAAAATATTGCAAAGTTGGCACAAAAATAGAATTGCACAGCCAGGAATGATCGAGAATTAATATTGACACTACTCCCTGATGAATGGATGACTAAAAGGAAGGCCTGAACTGACCTTGAAGTTTCTGGGAAAGATGCCTTGCTTCTCACCTCCCTGTGCTACATCATCAATGTCTCCATCTCCTGGATCCTTGCCTACTGAACTCTACATGATAACAATACCTCTGCCCACATTTAAACCGTTCTGGGTGTCCTAAGACAACTCTACACTTGAATTAAAGTTTATGTGCTAGGGTTAAGACTCGGCTGATGTCTTTATGTATGCCAAGACAATCTCCAATTCTTAATCCCCCCACTTTCATTTCCTCGGTGCTGAGAATAAGGCATGCACAACCACACACTGTTTGTTGGTGCTGCCCTTTGAACACAGAGCTTCCTGCATGCTAGGCAAAAGCTCTGTCACCTGAGCTACATCCTCATTCTCCCTCCCCATTTTTTCAAGAAAGGGTAGCCAGATCAGACTGGCCTTGAATTTCCACCTCTACTTCCCAAGTGCTAGATAACTTCACATTCAGACCTATTTGAATTGTTGTTATTATTGGAGACAGGGTCTCACTAAGTAGACTTGGCTAACCTGGAAATCACTATGTAGACCAGGCTGGCTTTAAACTCATAGAGATGTACCTGTGTCAACCTCCCAAGTGCTAGGATTAAAGGTGTGCGCCACCACCGCCCAGCTTGAATTTCTTTCTCTAAAAAAGATTTTATTTGGGGACTGGTGAGAAAGCTCAGCAGATAAGAGCACTTGCTGCTCTTCCAGATAACCAAGGTTCGGTTCCCAGCACCAACATTTCACTGGTAACAGTCTGTAACTCCAGTTTCAGGGGTTGCAGCCAACACCTTCTAGCTCTAGCACTGCACTGCTCATGTGGTGTGTGTGCACACATGCAGACAAAACACTAACACACATAAAAGGTTTTTAATTTCTAAAAAAGTTCTAAAAGATTTATTTATGTGTTTGTGCTTCTCCCCACACCTCTGTGTGTGTGTGTGTGTGTGTGTGTGTGCTGCACGCGCGCACACGCGTGTGGCCACAGAGGTCAGAAGAAAGAAGGTCAGATCTCCTAGAACTGGATTTACAGGCATCTGTAAGCCCCTGGTATACTTGCTAGGAACCAAACTTCAATCCTCTGCAGGAGCAGGAAGTGCTCTTAGCTACTGAAGCACCTCATCCTCTTGGACTACCCCCCCCTTTTCTGTTGTTATTTTGTTTTGATTTTCAAGACCAGATTTCTCTGTGTAGCCCTGACCTGGAACTCACTTTGTAGACCAGTAATTTATCTACTTTTGGGGTGGTGGACAGAGTCTCACTACGTTGCCCTGGCTGGCCTGGCAATTGATGTGTAGTTCTGGCTGTCTTCAAACTTTCAGATTTTGGGATAGCAGGAAATACCACCACACCCAGCTACTTACTATCTTTTGACCTGAACTTTTTCCTTTAGCCTAGTAGCAGTTTTGATAGTATTTCACCTACTTGTCCATCAAAGAAGATTCATGGTTTTCTAATTGCTGGTTGTCCCCTTATTTAGTAGCATCTTGTTCTCTGGGCTTCCATATGCCCATAGAACACCCAGAATATAATGTTCCAAAATGTTTGTTTCCTCCCGGAACAGAGAAGAAAGCTGGAAACTGGCTCTATTTGCAAACCATCAGTTAATTGGGCTTTTCTGGTTCTGTCCATTCTACATCAGTCAGAGATTCTCTGGACACCATTCCTTTAACAACAGCCCGGCCAGTTGGTTCTCTCCACCTTCAAAACTGTCCTGTATCATCAGTGTTTTTTCTCCATATACTGAGTCATTGCCATCAGCAAATACCAATCTTTTGTGTGAGTGTGGCATTGAGAGTTGTTCAGAGTTTCACCCTGTAGCTTAGACTGGCCTCAAACTCATGGTGACTCTTCTGTCTCAGTCTTCTCAGTAGTGATACTGCAATTACAAGTATAAGCTGCCTGGATCATCTTCATATTTTTTTCTTTTCCTTTTTTTCTTTTTTCATATTTTTTAAGATAGGGTCTTTAAATAAAAAAGAAAAAATGTAAAAAAAAAAAAGATAGGGTCTTGCTGGACAGTGGTGGCACATGCTTTTAATCCTAGCACTCAGGAGGCAGAGGCAGGTGGATCTCTGTGAGTTCAAGGCCAACCTGATTTACTGGGCAAGTTCCAGGACAGCCAGGGCTTTTATAGAAAAACCCTACCTCGAAAAAACAAATAACAACAACAATATAGGAGCTGGAGAGGTGGTTCTTTCAGAAGACCTGGGTTCAATTCCTACCATACACACAGTAGATCACAACTGTCTATAACTTCAGTTCCAGGGCATCCACTCACACAGACATACATGCAGGCAAAACAATACACATAAAATAAAAACAATGACAACATAAAGAGATGGATGGATGGATGGATGGATGGATGGATGGAAAAAATGAATGATAGGGTTTCAAGTATCCCAGGCTGGCCTTGAACTTGCTTTGTAGCTGAATATGACCCTGAACTTCTGATTCTCCTGCCTCCATTTGCTGAGTGCTGGGATCAGAGGTGTGTTCCAGCACACCCTGTGTTATGTGGTGCTGGGATCTAACCAAGGCTTTTGTGCTTTATAGACAAATACTCTACCAATTGAGCCATATCCCCAGGTTTATGGGTTTTCAGGGAGGGGGCTGTTTTCCCCACTTTTTTTTTTTTTTTTTTTTTTTTTTTTTTTTTTTTTTTTTTTTTTTTTTTTTTGCAGAGTTCCATTCACTGTGTAGCCCAGGATTCCCTTGAACTCACAGATATCCTCCTGGCTCAGATTCCCAAGTGCTAGAATTATCAGTGTGGGTCAGCCAACATACCCAGCTCCACTCCAGCTCCAATTGCATTGTCTCTTAAGTTCATTTCATTTAGGCTTTCAAAGCACCACACTGATGTACTGTGACCTCCTGTCAGATTACTATCAACTGCAACGTTGCCTCCAAAAGACTGGGCTGTAGGCGGGCCTGTAGGGCATTTTCTTAGTGAATGACATGGTAGGATCCAGCCCTTTGTGAGTGGTGCCACCTCTAGGCTGCTTGTTCCTAGATGCTACAAGAAAGGATACTGAGCCAGGAGATGGTGGATAAACCTTTAATCCCAGCACTTGGGAGACACAGGCAGGTGCATCTCTGAGTTCAAGGCCAGACTGGTCTACAGAACAAGTTCCAGGAGAGTCAGGGCTACACAGAGAAACTCTGTCTTTTTTTTTTTTTTTTTTTTCGAGACAGGGTTTCTCTGTGGCTTTGGAGCCTGTCCTGGAACTAGCTCTATAGACCAGGCTGGTCTCGAACTCACAGAGATCCAGAGAAACTCTGTCTTGAAAAAGCCAAAAAAGAAAAAAGAAAGCAGGTTGAGTGAGCCATGAGGAGGGAGCCAGTAGGTAGCACTCCTCCATGTTCTCTGTATCAGCTCCTGCCTCCAGGATCCTGACTAGTTCCTTCGTAGGCTTCCTCAGTGGATTGTGATTCAAGATATGGAAGTCAAATAAACCCTCTTCCCCGAGTAGGTTTTGGTTATAGAGCTTCATCATAGCTACAGTAACCCTAAGACTGCCACATCCAGCTGCAACACAGCTAAAAAGGAAATAAGAAAGGACCCTGCAGGATTGAGGTTAGAAAGCACTTAAAAGCCAGGTGGTGGTGGCGCAAGCCTTTAATCCCAGCACTCAGCAAGGCAGAGGCAGACAGATCTCTGTGAGTTCAAGGCCAGCTTGGTCTACAAAGAGAGTTCCAGGACAGTCAGGGTTATTTGACAGAGAAACCCTGAGAAAAAAGAAAGGAAGGAAGGAAGGCTCTAAAAAAAAAATAAGAAAAACGAAAAAAATCTTGGACTGGACAGTTGGTTCTGTGGTTAAGGGCACTTGTTGTTGTGAAAGACCCAGGTTTGATTCCCAGAAATAATGTGGAGGCTCACCGCCTCCTCCGGCACCAAGTACACATATGGTGCACAGATGTAGACACATAGAAAAACAAAAACAAATATTCAAAAAAATCTTTCCTGTGAAATGTGACATTTCCTAGCGCCTTTTCCCCATGCCCATTCTTATCAATCACGAGAGTTTCTCCTCTTGCGGCGCTGGAAGGACTGTTCTGGCGGCTTGGCTTCCCGAGGAATGGTGGTCAATCAGAAAACAGGACTAAAAAGCTCTCTTACAAAACTCCAGCAGAAGGAGAAATGGGAGTCTTCGCCGACCGTTATAATCACGCAGACAATATATACATCACAGTCTTTCCTTTCCTCAGCCTCCCTGAGCTTTGGCCGAAAGCTCGACCCGCCTACCCGTCCCAGGACGTCCAGTGAGGCTCAGCTCCGTTGGGGCGGATCTAGTTTTCTTCTACTCGATGGTTTGTGGGCCTCACGGCCCAACCGTAGCGCGCTTCTGTCGGTACCAGAGTGCATTGCGGCAAAATGGCTGCCCCCAGACGGCGCTGCGCTGGCCTAGTTCGGTCTTTATTCGGGGCCTGGCAGCTGGGCCCGCAGGCTGGGAGGGAGTGGGTGGCTTCGCCCGGCTCGCTTCTAGGTAACCAGGCGAGGTGCGTGTCCTGTGTCGGGGGTGCCATTTCCTCTGGTCCCCTCCTGGCCGCCGCTTCTGGTCGCTATGGTCAGGATTCCGCCTTGGACCGAATCCTTGGATTCCCTCAGCCTGACAGTTCGTTAGCTCCGAGCGTCCCCGCGGTGTCGGTACACAGAGGTAAAGGGCTCAGTTAATGCTGGTTGTGGGTGTTCGTTTTGTAACAGGTCTTCCTGTGGAACTGGTGTGGAACTCGGATCTTCCTGCTCCAGCCTCTGGAGTGTTGGGATTACAGGTGTCATGATGGTTTCAGCAGTGGAAGTCGTGTAGGTTAGTTATCCTCTGTCTCTGGGGATATCATTTCAGCCTCTATCATTTGATAGAAAATAAATCTGACTCCAGAGAGAGACAAGTAGTGACGGTTGTTGGAGAGTCTGAGAATGAGGGTCTGTAAAATACCTTAGCCTGCTCTTAAAGACTCTTGTTGCCTGACGAGCTGAGCATTCTTGGGACCCGTATGGCGGAAAGATAATCAGCTCCAGAAATTGTACTGTGACTTCCATAAGCTCATGCAAATACACAAATGTTAAGTCTGACAGCAGCAAGAGTTTAAGAATGGGAGGAACAAAAAAAAAAAAAAAAAGCCGGGCGGTGGTGGCGCCCGCCTTTAATCCCAGCACTTGAGAGGCAGAGGCAGAGGCAGGTGGATCTCTGTGAGTTCGAGACCAGCCTGGTCTACAAGAGCTAGTTCCAGGACAGGCTCCAAAACCACAGAGAAACCTTGTCTCGAAAAACCAAAAAAAAAAAAAAAAAAAAAGAATGGGAGGAAACCTGTGTTGGTCGCAGTCAGTAATGCCCCATCTACTTGTTAAGATACTAACTTGAGCCAGGTAGTCATGGTGCCTGCCTGTAGTCCCCACTCTGGGTAGGTAGAGGCAAGAGGATCTCCAGTTCCAGAAGTTTCTTCAGCTCTGACTGTAGCACCCTACTAATGCTGCTGTGAAGGTTCTGCGAAATTTCTTTGTCTCTTCTGATACTGTGTTGCTGCCAACAGTGACTAGTCTCCTACCAGGCTCCAGTCCATGCTCCTTGAGGAAGAAAGTGCTGCTTTTTTTGGGAGGACACATTGAGACAGAGTTTCACTCTAGCCCATGATCACCTGAAGCTCACTATCCCCAGTCTCCTTCATGCTGGGATTGCAAATTTGGGCCACCACATCCATTTCATTAATTTATTTACTTACTTACTATTTATGTTCTTTGTTTTTGTTTTTTTTTTTAAGACGGTTTCTCTATGTAACAGCTCTGACTGTCCTGGAACTTGCTTTGTGCCACCACCACTCAACTTTATTTAGGTTTTTTTTCGAGACAGGGTTTCTCTGTGTAGCCCTGATTGTCCTGGAACTCCCTCTCCACAATGACCTTGAACCCACAGAGAACTGTCTCCCGAGTGCTGTCGCCACTGCCCCTCCATGTATAAAGTGCTGTTCTCCATTGTAATTAGTGAGGTTGTTTTCTGTTTGTTTGAGACAGGGTCTAATTATGTAGCCCAGGCTGGTCTGTGTCTCAAATGTAATTCATTCTTTTTTTGAGATAGAGTTTCTCTGTGTAACAGTACTGGCTGTCCTAGAACTAACACTGTAGACCAGGCTGGCTTCAAACTCATAGAGATACTCCTGCCTCTCTTCCTCCTGAGTGCTGGGATTAAAGGCATGCGCCACCACCACCCGGCCCAGTAATCTACTTTTGCTTAAGCCTCTCAAAGGTTATGATTACAAGTATATGTATTTATCACAGTGCCCAACCTATGTTGAGCAATTTCTTTACACAGTTGTCATTGTGAAAAAGTTATTCATAGATATTGTTAGTGCGATTACATATGAGAAAACCAAGGGGCTTAGTTAGAGAGGTTAGATAACCTGAGAAATCCAATAAAATTAAATGCATACTAGTCTCAGAGTTAGGATGGGTAGCTTCAGCCTGGTGTACCAATCTTTCATTTTGATTTCCTCCTTGGGTATCAGAGCTGAGTATCTAATAAAGTCTAGATTCCAATATATCACTCATGTTCCCATCCTAACAGATGAGCAGAATCTGCTCTTGGTCCATACTCCTGACATGCCTGAGAATCCACGGGTCCTCCGAGTGGTCCTCCTGGGAACTCCAAATGCAGGAAAGTCAACACTCTCCAATCAGCTGCTGGGCCGTAAAGTATACCACACTTTTATCATCCCAACCCCTATACCTCCCTTTTTACACATTTCACTATCTTATGTATATGGGTGTTTTGCTTTCATAAATGTCTGTGTGGTACTTGTGTGCCTGGTGCCTACAGAGGCCAGAAAACCCCAGGATGTTAGATCCTCTGAAACTGCAGTTACAAACAGTTGTGAGCCAGCATGTGGGTGCTGGGAATTGAACCCAGGTCCTCTGGTAGAGCAGTCAGTTCTGTTAACCACTGGATCATTTACCCAGTTTCCTTATACCACCTCTTTCTCGTTTTGTTTTTTTCATTCACTTGTTGTGCCTGGGGAGATGGTCTGGGCGGGATCAAAGATCTCACTGGAACCTCTTTCTTCCTGGAAGGTGTTTCCTGTCTCCAAGAAGGTACACACCACTCGATGCCAAGCTCTAGGGGTCATCACAGAGAAGGAGGCCCAGGTGGTAGGTACCTGCAGAAGTTCTGCAAACAGGATAGAGTAAGGCTAATCAGTTCTCTCTTACCATTGGTCTTTTTTAAAAATGAAGATTCAGCCTGGCGCTGTGGTGGTGGTAACACACACCTGTAATCCCAGGCAGAGTCAGGTGAATGTCTGAGTTCAAGGCCAGTGAGTTCCAGGAAAACCAGGTCTATACAAAGAAATCCTGTATTGAAACACAAAAGCAGAACAAACAAAAACCAACAGCAACAGAAAACCGAAGAAAAGAAAAAAAAAGAATGCATAGAAGACACCCCCCATTTTTTATTTTTTGCTGTTCTTTTTGAGACAGGGTTTCTTTGTGTAGCCCAGACTGACCTGGAACTCCCTCTGTAGACCACTCCCAGCAAGGACCTCCCTATCTTAAGACTCCACGCAGTTCCTTCCTCTCCCTTCCCTCTTTTGCCGTTGTGTTCTGAAGTTTTTTACGTGTGTGCTCCTTGGCGCTTGCATGGGGGAGGGGATCAAGGACAACTTCCAAGAGTCTCTTCTTTTTTCTATTCTGTAAATCCTTAGACCCAAGATTGGGTTGTCAAGCTTGGCAGCTTGCGCCTTTACTGAACCACTCCATCCTTTGTGTTTGTGACAGTCTCATGTGACCCAGGTTGGCCTTTCTATGTAACCAGAGATTACCTTGATTTTATGATCTTTCTGCCTACTCCATCTCTCAAGTGCTGGGATACAAGAGATACCACCATGTCCAGCTCGGAATCTTCATTTTTTTCCCCTTTCAGAAATAGGGTCTCACCATGTAGCCCTGACTGGCACTGGTCTAAATGTATAGGCCAATCTGCCCTTAAACTTGAAATGATCCTCTTGCCTCTGTCTCCTAAATGCTGTGATTATAGGAGTGAAGGCGTGACACCCCACCTGACTAAACATAGCATAATTCAGCATTGAACTCTGTGGTTTTGTGTTTTATTTTGTGCAGTGCGGGGAATGTAACCCAGGGCCACTTGGGAACTACCCAAGCATTCTGCCAGTAAGTCCCGTCTCCAGCACTCCACTCACCCTTCATTTAGTCAACGTCATTCTTTCTTTCTTCCTGTTTCTCTGTGTAGGCTGTCCTGGAACTCACTCTGTAGACCAGGCTGGCCTCAAACTCAGAGATCTGTCTCCCGAGTGCTGGGATTAAAGGTCATCCTCTTAGCGGGCATTGGTGGCGCACGCCTTTAATCCCAGCACTTGGGACTTGGGAGGCAGAGGCAGGCGGATCTCTGTGAGTTCGAGACCAGCCTGGTCTACAGAGCTAGTTCCAGGACACGCTCCAAAGCCACAGAGAAACCCTGTCTCGAAAAACTAAAAAAAAAAAAAAAAAAGAGT